CACCGTCAATTACCGACCGACTACTTGCAGTGTATTTCATCGACTACTTTTACAAGGCAATGTCCTAGGCGGTAGTCACCATCGGCTCTCTCTGCACTACCGGGAGTTACTAAAGTAGTCACTTGCGTGATTTATGGGCGCCCTCTGCCGTAGTTTTTCGCTATTCTACTTACGACTGGTTCGACTCTGCACTACCATGTGCACTACCACGGGTTAATGGAGTAGCTACTTACCTTGGAGTCGGTGCAGTAGCGGTTCAAAAGTAGCGATTGACTCCAGCAGTACTGGAGGGTCGTTTCATTGAGTTTTCTTCTAAGTAATACATACATCCATACATATTCTTATTTTATTTACGTGAGTAAACTTTTGGTTTCTTATTAATATCCTTATAATGGCGAATCAAAACATTTAAAAGAAATATAAAATTTATATGTAATGTCTTTTCTGCTTTTCTTTACTCTCAGTCTTCACCAGACGCCCACTTTTCTCATTAGTCAATCTTATCCCCACTAAGTTCCATTTATTAGATATAAAAAAGGCGTGAGTACTAGGTACTCATGAAATTTGATGTGTAAACATAAAAGTACGTTTACATATAAATATAATCTCAATCAAAGCTCGTTAGCTGTCAAATTGGTTGTGCTTGTTATTCACACAACTAACTCGTGGAAAAGTTAAACTTCTTCTCTGTGCCACCGTGGTCACTTTTTTCTGCAACATATATTATGCCATTTAAATATATTTTAACTGAATATTTTATTAAAAATACCTTTACAAACCAATTTTCCTTACTAGCGTAAATTTTTGTTTACTTTAACATTTGACATCTCCTCTTCTTCGCAAGTATAATCGATAAAACTAGGTTGGACACCAAAAAGTTATCGGTTGAATCTGAGATATTTTTAGTTATAATTTTTCATGGCTAATCTCTTTTTCTAATAACAGATTAGGGAGTTAAGCTCGAAAATTAGGATAATCTTTTTATATGTAAAGCTATTATTAGGCGATTCAGTTACATACATACAAATGTAGGTTAGGTTAGAAATTAAACATTAATTTCACATAATTTTATTCATTTTGCTGATTTAATTTTTTTATTCATTTTCATTTTTAATTTTTTTAATACATGAAATTATCGGTATGATTGATAAAATATGATACTTGTATATACTTGTGACTTAAGGGCGTTAAAATATCTTGAAAACACCGCATCAGTTATTGTTTTTAAGCTTATAGTTTGAGCATTTCTATTTGTATATATTCCTAAATGTAGTTTTTCTTTTCGGAATATAATCTGTGGTTCATGTAAATGAGAGCGACTTTTGGGAGAGTTGTGTAGAGATTGAAGTTGCAGGTTTTTACTCGATGCTTTTTTGTTCCGTACATTTTTCTGTAACTCACTTTTTACTCTCACTTTAGAGAGTGATTTTGCTGTTTGACCATTTTCCAGGATTTTACACGAAAAGTATTGGATCAGAACTATTATATCATCCATACATATGCATATTATACACACATATATTCATGTATGTTCATCAGTTATCAATAATATAAATTTTCGCTTTTTTATCAAAATAGACTACTAAACCTATGCCTAAAACCATCTACGATTATCAAAACCATGGCATGAATCACGTATGACGACAATCGTCTGAACGATATCGTGTCGAGATTGTCTTGCTTCATAAAAATCAAAAATTGCTTGATCGTTTGTGCGATATCGTCAACTCGATTCGAGTTTTGCTTCACGTAACAGCAACACAAATGCATAAATCAGTGTTTTGACAACATCGTTTTGTCAGTATCGTTTGAACGACTATCGTTTCAAAGTTACGTGATTCATGCCCAGATGCAACAAATGAGTCCATACATATTTATGTACATACATAGGTAAAAAGTCGTATGCATGTGCGGAGTTTAAATAATCGGAAGTAGGCATATGCCTAAATGTATGCAACTAAATGTATACAGCAGCAAGCAAACACAGGGTGCTTCTAATGAAATAAAAATTGTATGCTGATATACAAATGCTAAGCCCTTCGAAATTTTTTGCTGGGATATACGTTACAGCTTCGCAAATTTTACCCCTACCGAAACCAAAGATGTATACACATAAAAAAATAAACGCAATCATTAGTGGTATTCTCGCTTCTGTGTATTCGCTGTATCCTGCGTAAGTGTAACTGGACGAGCGTGTGGTTTTTGTTGCATGTGTATTTGATGTACCGCTAGCAACAACAAATCACACGCTCATGCAGTTACGATTACACAACATACAACGAATCCACATAAGATATCTTTTTGGACTAAAATCTGAAAAGTGTCAAAATGTCAGAGCGTAAGCAAAATGCGCTCACTAAAAGAGAATAACAGGAAAAGTAAAGGAACGCAAAAAACCAAATTTTTAGTCCAAAGAATGGCAACAACAAAGTTAACGTCAAATAAGAATGTAAATGTATGTACAAAACACCTTCACACAAGAACAAGCACAATAAACACTTTCTATATCAATTATTTTTTGCCTCCTTCCAATTTCAATTCACTTTTTTTACTTTTTAGATTATTTTCACTTTTTGCGTATTCTTTAATTTCCGTTAATTTAAATTCAGTCGAGTTTGACACTTTTCAGGATTTTGCCAGAAAAAATTCTTCTGACTAAATCTGACTACTTCGGACTGATGAGAGTCACTCTCACCGAGTGTTCCTCTCTCATTTTTGCTGTCATTTCCGAGTTAAGGAACGCTTTTTGGACTAAATCTGACTACTTCGGACTTTTTCTGACTATTTCTTGGAGATAAGGAACGCTCCTAATAAGACAACATGCAGATACACCATTATACTGAAAATGTACGCTTGGAATATACTTTAACTATACGTATGCATGTGTGTATGTAGTTTATATGTACATATATACATATATGTTAGCACCATAATTCATATATTTGTGCATATTCCTACATTGCTTTCAACCGAAAACATTTGCTTGGATTACTTACATATACATACATATGTGCACATGTATGTATGCTGTATGTGTAACGAAATGCATACCCAAAACCATAGTTGCCAACTCGACGCTTTAAGCACTAGATTTAGTGCTTTTTGAAAATTAAAACGCCAAAAAAATTATTTAGTGCCTAGTGCCTTTTCTAGTGCTTTTTTTCTGAACTAAAATTACTTCGAGATAGTTGAAACTTGAGATAATTTGAAAGATTTAAAGCTGTGGCAGCACTGAATTTAAAATAATCTACAATTTTAAATGGACTAAAATACAACCATGATTGATAAAAAGCTGAAGTTGCAAACCCACCTTGTTTAATTCTATTCGCGTTGAAAATGCTACTACGCAAGTAAGTTAAGTATTTCTTTTTTCTTTTCTAATTATTTGTAAAAAATTTATTTTTTTTTTACCACCTGAGTAAAACACATCGTTTCTTGGTGCTGAATCCAAATCTGGCCTCACAATTGCTCAAGCACTAGAATTTTGATGTATCCTAGCCTCAAAGTGCCAAAAACAGGGTTTTTAGCGATATTTGAGGTTATATAATGAAAACATCAAATTATTTGCTCATTTCTAATTAGGGCATCATTTTCGTTTGTTGCGATTCGATTTTTCTTTATCGAGATATACCAGTTTTAATGTGCAGTACTTCGGTATTATAATAGATTGGCGCTTNCCACATAAGATATCTTTTTGGACTAAAATCTGAAAAGTGTCAAAATGTCAGAGCGTAAGCAAAATGCGCTCACTAAAAGAGAATAACAGNTTTTCATGGCAGAAAAACACTCGGACGTTTGCCATTGCCTGCCGAGGGACGATCGCTGTTAATAAAAAACCCTTTTTCTATATTTTTTGCGATGTTGCTTTGACCAGGGTTTGAACCCAGGTGCTGCGGAGTGGAAGCGCGCACTGCTTACCACTACACCACAGCGGTATTATGTTAAGAAAAAAGCTGATTCAAAAAAATTTAGCCCTTTTTTCCAAGTTTTTGGTGCCTTTTGAAAATCAAAAGATGACAACACTGCCCAAAACAAACGCGAAAAATATCTACCATACAACGTCGTTGAAAATTGTTCACGATAATTTTATCGCGATAAGCTGTCGGGAGTAATCGCGAATGGATTATTTGCATTGTTTTTCTCGTTTACGAGAGGCCAAAATCGGCAATGCTCGAACTTCTCATATTCGAGTGAGAGGAAATTTCTTTGCTTTTTTCGATCGCGAAAGGAAAGCAGCGGAAATTTTTTTGTCGATCGCATTCCGAATGTGAGAGTTGATAAAGTTGTTTGCATTTTTCACTCGCGATAAAAGAATGCAAAAATTTATTTGGAATATTTGAACTCCCTAATTATATTGATGCAAAGGTTTTCTTTTTTACTTCATTGAAATGGTTTTGGCCCAATCATAGAATGGCTTTCTTTTTGATTTTTTATTTATAATAAATTAATTTATTAAAGTGCTCAATATGATTTTTTTCAAAAGTGGAGATGCTGTTTTGGAGAAATTAAGCGAATGTTGTGCCCTCCGGAAGCAAAGTAGTCTTCATACAAAGTCCTCCTTAAGAAATTTTGTCCTCCCTTAGGCATTTAAAAATTTGGCAAGCCTAGTTAAAGCATAACTTTGGACCACGTGAACCAATTTCGATAATCCTTTTTTTAATGGAAGGCTGGTACCTCAAGGTACCCATGATAATTTGGTTTAGATGTGATCATTGGATCATGAGGAAAATAACGGTACTCCTATATTTTTATATGGGAATTGAAGTCGCTTTTGTTTTTGCTTAAAAATTAGTTACTCTTATATACTAGCTTTACAAAATTGGATGAAAAGAAGTAATATTTCTAAAAAATATTCATGCCCATTGATTGAAACAGAGTATCTCGCTACCTTATAGT